AATTGAGCACCTGATGAGATTTGTCATCTCCGTCACACAGCATCCTACTGTATACTAAACCTCAGTGTTCCGCTGATTTTGTGAATATTGTTTCAGCCTCCATAGCTTTTGCACTTCCTTGTAAATTTTGCTGGCACTTTATTATTTGGTGGTGGGTTCTCAAAGGCAGAATAAAAAAGCACATATCCGTCATTGTCACCTACCTTCTAATCTTTCTTCATTGGAGAAATTTTCTTTTTGGCAATGGGGTGAGGAGCAAGTTCATCCTCATCTAAAATTTCCTCTTCACTATTATCACTCTCACGATATGTTCCATCACTATACCTACTCCACTAGTGCCTATCAATGTTTGAACTGTCGTGTGATGTGCTGAAGTATGTCGATGCCATTGCAGTAGGCTGTGGTAATCTTGAGAAATTGAGGCTAGGGCATCAAAGTATTTTGGAAAGGTGTTCAAAAAGCATTTTCTGAGCTCGATAACTGTTGAAACTGGGGAAGTGCCAAAACAGCACTCTCATCTCGTTGATTAGACGCTAGCATCAGCATCGGCAAATGTCATTGAAAGAGATGATTATGAGGCTGAAACAAAAGAATGAATTGAGTGTAGGAACTGATCTAAAATCTCTTTCTGTCTGTCTGTAAATATAAACACAAACACAGTCTTGGTGTAGAACAAAATAAGACAGTAAAGTTGAGTAAAGGGAACATTGACCAATAATGAGACCTGGCAATAATATTGAGAGCTTTCGTTTTCAGTTCTTGTCTCGTAGTTGCAAGAAATAAAATTTAAAAAACAACGTGCTATCAACTTTCCTTATCTCTTTACTTTATAAAAATGCATAATGATATGAAATACGCTTGCAAATAGTTTGAATGAGAGAATGAATATCTCGTTCTGGGCCAAAGACATAATACGCACGCACACACACACACACACAGAGAGAGGCGGAGAGAGAGAGAAGGTTGGGGGGGGGGGGAGACAGACAGACAGAGAAAATAGAGAGGGGGGGGGGAGAGAGAAGGAAAGAGAAAGGGGAGAGACAGGGTGTTTGCTATTATGATGAGAATTATTCCCGTCATTTTCTCTCTGCGTCGGTTCCCAAGCTTTTTCGTTTTCCTTCATCTCATGGGATGGAACATTTGGAGCTGGCCAAAATATTAAAAATACGTCACTGTAGTCACTGACTAAAACCGGCAGTGGACGCTCCGTCTAAACGAAGCTTGAGTGCCGTGAACGTAGCCTCAACAGCGCCTGCAAACTGCATTCAGGGCGCCGTGAACGTAGCCACTGCGTTCATAATAACGGCGGGAATCTCCAAGCCAAACAGTTGGCTCAGAACGCCTAGATCTCTAGATCTAGATATTGTAGAGTTAGAAGTTACGTTCGATTGGGGAGGAGTTTTAGCCTAATCTGATCTTAAACTTTTATCATGCATGTAATGTCAATAAAAGTTTAATGTTTAATTAATGTTATCCTCAGCTCCTCCCTTTTGTACCCAACTTCTCAAGGGAGAAATTCCAAAGCCCTTCACCTTCCTTTATTTTGGGCCTTATTTTTATTATGGGGAGGACTTCCGTAACGAGCAACCACTATGAGACAGAACAGAATGTAGGGGTAGGGGTAGATCTAGGTTAGGGTTAGGCCTCCTCTTTATTGTGTTTGATGGGGTGGTCGCTCGTTACGGAAGTCCTTCCTTATGGATTAGGCTTAAGTTATTGCAAGTGGCTAGATTTAGATCTATTTTCTGGCGTTGCGCCAGTCAATAGATCGATGGCTGTTCTCTGCGTCAGCTAGTTGCACTTTTGGCTTCTCCACAGCTAAAAATCTAGCTTTCTATCCCCCCTGTCGGCACGTAGTGCGTAGTGGGTATTATTTTTGCATCTAAGTCGTCTATGTTCAGTGCCAGATGCACTTTCTTGTACTTCTGGTTGTGACTGAGGGTTGTTGGCGCTTTTGGTGCTTCACCTCTGACACAGCAATTCCTCCTTCCATCACTGGAGCTTTCATTGAGTAGTGGCTGCGTGTCCACCTGTGATGAATCGCATTCTAAAGCAATGCCGACCCTGATGAGTGTTTGTGTAGTAAGGATGGGAAGGCCATAACGTGCCAACAAGGGAGATGGAAAGCTGTGGAGAAGCGACATGGACATGTGCAACTAATGACGCCGGAGAATAGCAATCGATCTATTGACCAGCGCGACGCCAGAGAATAGCCATTTGATGCTAAGTTATTTTGCTTTAAATAAAACTTAAAATTAGCAGCATTCTCCAGTTTTGGCCCCAAGCCCAAGAGTACTAAATATCAACACTGACTTAAATCTATTCCGTATCAATGTTTTATCCGAACGAGAGCGAGAGATGAGCTGTTATTTTTCAAATGAACAGTAATATTTCAATTGTTAATTAACAAGAGGGGTTTCAGGGGCTAATAAAAATATGGGTGGTTTCGGTTTCAGGGGGGCGTCCAATTTTTTGACATATCGACATATTTTCCAATTACGAACATTTTCGTTCAATATCTTCACTAAACAATTTCTCAATATCGACCTTTTTTCGGCCCACTCTTGTTTATCGACATGCTTCCTGGGTACCTGGCAAAGCGCACGAACATAAATGGTAGGGAAAGCCACGCTTACAGTCAACGCATTAGTTCTTCATTAAGTCCACATACCCGCCAAGTAGCCTATTGACATACCAGGCTTTCGTAGGTCATGTAGGGCCTACACCGTGTAGTCTCCAACACAGTACGGTGCCCCACAGACGTGAGCGTCTCGCAAGCTGGGCATCGTCTTCCTACCCCCACTCCCGATCGCTCACTCCCCTTCCCCATCACTTTCTCAGTCTGTCGCTGGCAAGTGCCACGGTCAGTGAGTCAGTGCCTCGCCTTTCCAAGGCAAGCGGCCATAGACAGGCCTAACAAAGATGCTACAATAAAGTCTGCGCTGGTGTGTAGTGTGCGCCTCGCGCTCTACTGTCTTTGGTATCCCCCGGCCTCTTGTTAGTTTCAAGAATCAAGGGGAGCAACCAGCCTTAAAAAGTAGTGTTGTCTTTTATCGCTGACCTCCCCTTTTTTCCTCTTTGGCTTTATAATTTCATTTATCGACATTTTTATAAATCGACATCAAATCACTTCCCAAAGCATGTCGATATAAGCAGATATAGGAAATCGGCATGGCGCAGAAATTTTTACACATTTCGTGATGTAATGTTTTAACAAAAAATATCTGTTTGCTGTGTACATATTTCACTATGTGTGCATGCAAGACTGTATCAAAATGAAATTCGAGTTACTTTTTTTAGCTGAGGTGATTTAAGCTAAAGCTACTGCTTTTTTCAACAACTGGTCACATCCCACACTGTCACTGTGGATGTGATGGCGGGCTCTCATGGCCTAGAGGTTAAGGTGTTTGCCTCTCATTCAAAAGTCCCAGGTTCAAATCTGGGTAGCGACGGAAAAATTTTCTTCCTTTCCTACTCTCTAGCAATGTTCTGTCGTCTGCTTTCGTCTCCTCTTTCTGCCCCCACCCCCTCACCTCTTTTGCCCCCTCCTCTGGGCTCCTGACTCTTTCTGCAGCCTTTCTACTACTACTCTTTGGCTCCTTCTTACTGCTGTTTTTCAGCCACACCCCTGATCTTCTAGTAGGAAAACCTTCTCAGACAATGACGAAAAGTCTCGGAGGTCCGTGTGCAAGTTGCGCATGGTAAAGATCCCTTGGTTGTCTAAAATCGATAGGAGTAGGCTTCGACTGCCACCCGGGCAAAATTCAAAATTTCTTACCAATTTAAAATATTTGTTGTGTCCTGCGCACTCATACGATGACCTTATGCAGTTGCAAGTGCCGTAAAACACTTCCCCCCAAAAAAGGATGGGATGGAGTAGTCAGCAACCAGCTTGAATTCCTTATTTTATATTCTTTCTGGGATCTGACTTGCTTGTGTCATCCTTCACCCCAACGCACATGCTCTCCAAGTGTTCTGCCACACTATTTTCTCTTTGATTGTCAATTTCTTTTTTTTTTAATGTGTTTTTTCAGAATGAAAAGTACAAAGAGAACCAATTATCTGGAATGGCAAGAGTACTTTATGTCCATCGCATTTCTCAGTGCTCAGCGCAGTAAGGATCCAAGAACACAGGTCGCGAAATGTTAATTAGGGATATATTATATAATTGTCTCAGTGATGATTTTCATGTCATCAGTGACTGGGAGAATTTTCTAAGTCTACTTTCATGCCTGAATTACTTTGTCCAAATTTTTATATCCTGAATAAGTTGAGCAAGGAGCAAAATTGTTCTTTATTTTATCTTCACTTCCTTCTTCCATGTCTAATTTTTCATTGCTTTTCTTTTTTCTTTTTTTTTTTTGGTCATCATTATTTTTCATACTCACCAGCTTAATTGTATTTCTATAAGTATTTGCTTTGCTTATTATATACACTAAAAATAACAAAACACTGTTTTAGGAGCAGTTTGTCATTTAGATTAAGATACAGCAAGTTAAGTAACATTCATTTCTGAGAAATACTTAATTTTGATTTTTGATTTTTATGTTGTGCAGTTTCACTAATAGAGTGTACTCTAGCATTTTTGATAACTGTGACCTGTTATCATGCTAGATTCAGTATCGATGACCCTGGTTTACATCCCCAAAGAAGCATTCTTGAACTTAGAATCTTTTGAGAGTTTTCAAGGCTCTCCACACCCTTGGCTTGGTTGAACTGGAAATGGATGTTGCATTTGGAAGTCCTGCTCCTTTAGAACTTTATAGTGGTTAAGAGGCTGTCAAGCCCACAAGACTGATACTTTTCATTTATTCTATGTAACAAGAGGCTTTGTGACTATGTGTTTGTGAAATCTAATGATAATCGCAACTTTCATTGTTTCTTATGGAGGTGAAATTCAATTCTGAGCTTCTTCTGGCAAAGTTACAATAATTTGTGGCAATCAGAAATCTAGATTTAAAATAAAGTAACGTACGCCATATATATAAAGATGACCAAAAGTGGGGTTCAACAAATTGGATTTGAACATCTTTACTCAATTTGTCTGCCTCCATAATATAACTGTTTCTAAACTCCTATGTCATCTTATGTGCATTTCTTTTTTCCCAACTATTTAGGTAGGAGCATGTATTGTCAACAAGGACAATAAGATTGTCGGAATCGGCTATAACGGGATGCCAATGGGTTGCCCTGATGATATGATGCCATGGAACAGAGCTGAAAATGACTCGAAGGAAAAATGGTTACAGAGCAAGTCTCCATATGGTATATTATCATTTTAATTTATGGAGACAAACCATTACCATGAAAGTCTGCTTTGGTGCATATATTTATCATGTAGCGAGTTCCCTTTTTGAAGAGACCAATGGGTTTTTTTACTCACTCACTTCAGATCCTTCTCCTGTTGTAGGGGCATTTGCCATAGATATCGTTTACTTTGAGCTGAGCTACAGTGAAACCCTGATACCATGATTTCATGTAAGGGGAAGTTGCAATGCATAGAATAAAGATGGGGGGGAAAACAAACAGGGATTTGAAATTCTTTCATGACTTTAGGAATTTTGTTTTAAACAGCTTCTTGTTTTTAAAAAAAGTATAATTTTTAAGCGACATTTTGTTAAATAATGACTTTTTGTCACAGTTGAAGGCAGTTCAAATACAATTACTGATTCTTTTCACATTCCCTCTCTTTTGACTTTGGAAAATGAGTTCTTTATCAGAGAGAGAGAAACAATTGTCATAATACTAGTAAAAATCTGGTTTAAGATCTTAATTAATCTATCTCTGAAACATATGAAACAATGCTATAAATATCCTTCTTGCAGTGAATATTTGCAATTATTTTTCAGATAAAAAATCCTTTATGCAATATATTTCTTTCACAGTTTGTCATGCTGAGCTAAATGCTGTGCTGAACAAGAACCTTGCCGATGTGATAGGCTGCTCTATTTATGTGGCTCTCTTCCCATGCAACATGTGTGCTCAAATCATCATACAGTCTGGCATTCGGGAAGTGGTCTACTATTCAGACAAGTACCACAACAAACCAGAGTTTGTGGCTTCACGATTTTTGATGGACACTGCGGGTGTGAAGTACAGGTGAGTAATTTGATAGTGAGCATTTGTGGTCACACTCTACTAAGGAATTTCCATATATATCTCATAGCAGGGGCTCTTCTACGAGAGAAAAAGCAGTCACACACATAAAAATCGATTACACTGCAGGTTGAAGAACCAGCAGTCAACTACCCCTGAGATCTAACAGGGAAATGCACAGAAGGTTTTATCTCATGAGACTGCTCAGGCTCAAAATATAGAGTCTACATATCTTGTGGTTTTCGTGTGAAGGCTGCTCTGTTTGTCCTTTTCATTTGTCTCGGTTGTATAATAATAATAGAATTCATTTTTATAGAACTTTGTCCCATAAAATAGAAGCCCTGACCATTTATATATATTCATGACAGGTTACTGGGAATAAACTTCATACACAAGAACAAACATTTCATATACACAAGAAAGCCAGTTCAACCACATCGGAAAGAAGTTTCTCTGCCATACATTAATTACATAGGACAATAGTAAAAACAAGCCACATCAGCACATACTAACACACCTCAAATAAGAAGTAAACAAATGAGTCTTAAGCAAAATTGCTTAAAACTTTTTCTGTAAGTGTTTCACTGCGCTTGCAACTGCCTAAGGTATCATCGGTCATGTGAGCGCACAGGACACATGAAGCATTAACAGTTTGGTGGGAATTAATGTTGAAATTTGCACTGGTGGCGGTCAAACCTACTTTATCAATATTAGGACCACCGAGGTATCTTTGACGTTGAAACATAAGCAAATGATAGAACATGATAAGAGAGCAGGAAAGGTGAAAGGAGAAGAAAATTTTCTGTCACTGTCAGGTTTCGAACCCAGGACCAATTGAATGAAAGGCAAACCCTGTACTTCTTGACCATGAGAGCCCCCGTATTAAGTTATCACTAAATTTAAGAAAATAAACTTCTAATTTATAGTTGAAGAATGTAACTCTAGCCGATTAGTAAAGGGTCCTTTATTCTATGCATTGCAATTTCCCTTAACATCATGAAATCCACTTAGACATTCTCTGATCCCGTGAAGCTAAAATTCTTATAAATAAGACCCTCGGCGACATTTTGGAGAGAGCAACGGAGCATCAATGGACTTGTCTGGAGTGCCAGGATATTGCTTCCTGAAACAATGAACAATGCAGAGATGCCAACCAGTACGATTTTATTTATTTTAGTACGATTTTTTGCCGAAAATACACGAATACGACTTTTCATGAAAAAATACGATTCCTGAAATGCGAAAAATACGAGATTCAGCTTGGGCGAATAATCCTAATTAACTCAAGTCCCATCTTTTGTCAAAATAGTCTCAGTATCGCGGAACTTGAATATTTGAAAACCAAAGTCCGATAAGGTCAGTAGGTTCAATTTTGCCGGTCGCAATTGTATTATATTCGTTCAGCTTTCCCCCGTCCGAGAGTACGTTTCAATTTCACGGGGACAGGCGGCAGGCGGAAGTGTATGTGACACCAAGGCTCGATCAGGAAAATCAAGATCTACTTTCGCTTTTGTTCCCACAGATAAGTTTGCCAGCTGTAATCTGATAACGCAACATTTTGTGACATGCAGGTTGTGCAGTATAAACGCTGTGTCGCCGTGCAAATAAAATTTAATCAATACTCCGACTCGTCTCTGTGCTGTCACTTGTGGGAAAAAACGAAAAGAAAATACAAGCGTCTTCCGATTTTTAGATTGTCTGGCTCACTTTCGTGACCGGTCAATGACCCTGCGCGCATTCGCATCATTAAAAATACGGCATCGTGTGGGCAAAAACCGTCTTTGGTGGGAGTAACGGGGTGGCAAAGTATAGGACTAAGGAATATGGGAGGGGAGGGGATAATTGATTTTTTTTTTTAAAGATACACTGGGGGGGGGGGGGGGGTGAAGGCAATTACCAGAGGATAAGAACTTGGAAACAATTTCAGTATTTTGATTAGAGCTCTCTGCAAAGCGCGCATTGGTGCAGGCCGTGTGCGGAATCGGAACCCTTCATACTTTGCAAGTTTGTCTTATTGAAATAAAATGTTCGCGTTTCATTGGATGGGTGATAGTAAATTATACCTTCAGTGTATGTTGTAGCTTTCTGTTCAAGACTGGCAGATTTTCAGTGTCACTGCATCTTGCCCTCCCACAGTTGTTACAACTCTAACACTGCATGGGTCTTCTTGAGCCATTCAAGTTATTGCTCTTCTCTGAGTTTGAGCAATAATTTTTGTCTGTCAGTTCATAACATGAATCATGACACCCAGACTGGTTCTTGATGTTCGAAATTCTTGTCCTAGGCCCTTCCGAACACTCAAAGCAGGATTAATTTTTTATATAATAATGAGACAGAAATATTATAATAAACTGAAATACCTAAGTTAAGTCAAACAAGACCCCAATATGACACTGAACTCTAACATGTTGTTGAGTGGATACATGTATATTGTACGCCTGTGTGCTCCCTTTTTCAAGCTGGTGAGCTAGTATTTTTTTTTCAGGAAATATTGCTGGACACCCTGAACTGGTTGGTCGGTCGGTCGTGAGGAATACACATTTTCCCCTGAAAATACACATTTTCATATTTCCCAATACTCATTTAGATTTTCTTTGGTTGGCATCTCTGACAATGAAGTTACAGAAACATCAGCATCCTAACATGAAAAAACATCAGCTAACAGTTTGAGAGCACCCCTAATATTACAACAGTGAGGTCTGAATTAAGAGATTCTTTCATTTGAAATGAACGCAGATAATGTATTTATATTTTAGATACATCAGGCATGTTACTGTTTGTGAATTGAATTCAAAATATAATCTTGTCTTTGTTTGATTTTTTTTTTTCAAATGTTGCAGGCAGTTCAGGCCCCGACAGAAGAAAATTATCATTGATTTTGAGCTGATCGAAACCACCGTCTCAGAAATACCTACCATGCCAGTTGTAAATAATTTCAGTAATGCTGACACCCTTATTGAGGAAATGGCAATACGTCAGAGGATCTCTGAGTCCAATGTGCAGGACAAAGCAAATAACAACAACAGTTTCACAGAGAAAGAAGCTGCACTCAGGAGTCGGCCAGAGTTACATTCTCAACAAGACACTGAACACTTGGCACAGCACCACAGTTCTGGGGAACTTTTGCCACAGTCAAGCCCACGAGTGAGAGTGATGCATGGTGACACCCAGTCGCAGTCTGAGAGGTTGTCAGAAGGTGTCAGGTCAAGGGGCTCCGGTGCAGAATTTGATTATGCTTTCACATCCCTATTGTTTCTCTTGTTCCTCTCATTGTATACTTGGTTCATGTCTAGATGAAGTTGAATTATATGCTGGTGATTGGAATATGTCACTGGTACATCCTTCCTATTTTTTATCTGTTTTTTGTGCCTGTCTATCTTACTTTTGCCCTCACTAGATGACTTTCGTTGGTAAGATCACTGGTCGAGTGGTATGCTTCTTTTTACTCCGAGTAGTAACTTACATTGTGCCTGCCATCATTACACAAGATACAGTTAGTGACGAGTGCTTTAATTTTTAAAAATAGTTTTTGAGCTGAGAATTTGGCTGCCAATATCATATATATATATATGTTAGTGTTGGTAAAGAATTCAGACTGAAGTTTCCAAGGTTCCCAGTAAGAATCTTTTGTCATCTACGGGTGATATAGTTAGAAATGCCGAGCAGGATGGGGTGGGGGGGATTCTTGGCAATCCATCTGCATGTAATTGAAATGGGAATGGACTAGGGTAGAGAATAGTATGGTTGTGAATCTGATTTAGTTTAAGTTGCTGGTGTTTATGATTGTTTGCGGGAGTACAATCTCTTCATCCTATTTTTTTTTTAAGTTTTCCCATTTTTTCTTTGGCCCTAGAATGGCAAAGAGGAGCAGAAGCTATTTCTTTGCAGGCAGGGAAGTGTAAAAATGTTTTTGGTTTTTTTAAGGAAGAAAGAATCTCAATTGAATAAGATAGATATTTGATGATTACTTCTGTACTGTAAAATTTGATAAAGATGCTGTAAAATAATTAGCATAGCAAAATAAATGTCCATTTTTATTTTAGGGGTTGTTGGGGGGGGGGGGGTTGTTTGTTTGTTGTTGTTGTTGTTTTTTCTTCCTTTTTTATGAGGGTGGGGTTTATTTGGGTTTTTTTTAACATATTATATTTAATCTACTCTTGAAACATGACTTTCTTGCTGCAGTTAAAACCTGCTTCAACATGCAAAATGTTGTTCTAGTTTTGACAAATGAAGTTAATTAGTAAATTTGGTCATTGCAAGTCTTCCAATGTAGAAAAGTAGTTTCTGAAGACACTTTGAAAATTTATATCCAACCTCACTGTATAATAATGTTGATAATATTGATTGAAGAGCATATAAAATGACATCACCTGTTTGTTACCACTTGCTTTGGTGGATCTTTCACTGTTTCAAAGACAATTTTTAGATTTAAAAAAAAAAATTTGGGGGGGTGGGGAGGGGTTGGTTATTATAATGGATAATCTTTTTGTTTTAACTCTTAACTTGTGCATAATATGTTGTGTTTTTCCTCTTAGATTAGTGTATAGGACAGTGGTTCTTAATCTTAACGTGGGTTCGATCAAGCCCCGGGTTTTCAATGAGTCGGTCTCATGAGTTTGACAGAGGTCAAGACAGTGTTAATCATAATGTGTGTGTGGGTCTTCCATTCACCCCGCTCAAAGAGTTTGGTGAATGCATGTTATGAAACTTGGGGGATCCAATACTTCCAACAAAGATAAGAGCCACAAGTATAAGATACCTGATATTTTCAAGCATTGGATACATGTACCTGTACTTTTTAAGTGCGGCTTTTCTGATTTTAAATCATGCTGAGTATAATTATTACCATGATGTAGGCCTACAGTAGTGAGATGTGAAGCAATATCAGCAACATTTGTTATAATTTTTTTAGTAGGTGTGGCTCTTTGGCTGTTATGCCAGTAAAGTGATTACCGGAGGGCACCCGGGAGTGGTGGCCAGAGGGGTTAGGTAGGTATGGGGGGGGGGGGGGTCCTTCTTTATTCTTTGCATTGCAATTTCCCTTAACATCAGGAAATCCACTTAGAAATTCTCAGATCCTGTGAAGCTAAAATTATCACGTTTTACTGTATATATTTTATTCATGTCTTAGAGAACAGTAGCTTAAGATAAAGAGAAGTCCTAACTGGTAAGTTAATGGTATTCAAACATGGTATTACAATATGATTAAAGAGGTGGGAAGGAGGGTTACTATCGTTGTCAAAGAATATTTGTATATTTGTAAATCAGTATATATATAATATGTAAATACCATTCAGTAAAGTATGATTGTAATTGTTAGTTTAGAATAACAGTCGGTGTCACTTCCACGCAAGTACATTTCAGTAGAACGTGATGTTTGCAACCAGGTACATCTTTGCTGTGCAGTTTAAGTTACGGGTTTGCCTGAAGGGCAGAAAGGTCATGTTAGTGACTGGGAGGGTGTATAGAATACAGAAGTTTGGCATTTTACAGTCTAAAGCTTCTTTTGTAAAATGTAACTTGAAAATCTTGTACAGTGGCTGTATATTTTTCCTAAATTGTTTTGATTTTGATCTTTGTGCGAATGGTGATGGTAAAAATTTTCGACTTATCATTTTTCTAGCATGTGAGCACTGGTGTCCGTATTGTGACAAATAGCTCTCAGCAGTAATATATATATATATATGGAGAAGAAATTACTGTCGGACCTGCTATGACGGCCACCTGCGTAATGCGGCCACTTTCCATTTCCCCCCTTGCGTTTTTTCTATACATAGTTCAACTGTTTAAAACAGTCACCTGTCCGCCGCGGCCACCTTATTTGATCAACCCAGAGTCAAATTTACCTGCCTCAGGGGGCCAGGCGTGGTCTCTATAATTGCCCAATGCTCTGTCATAAATTCTAAATCAGCCTCTGACGTTGTGGACGGGCTGGCATATTCCATTATCCTGTCATTATTCTTAGTCCCTCCAATGAATGTTTACCCAAGTTGACCAATGGGTAACAATACATTTTCAACTGCTGGTGAGGGAAGCGTGTGTCCGTAAACTGTTAGTATAAGCCCCACCCACAACTCATACAAATTATACGTGAGGTGACTGGTCACTGTTTTGTTTACCTAATCTGTAACAATGGACGTTAACATGTAGGCCTACTTGCGACAGAAGCATCGCTCGTTCTCTGAGTGATGGCGACCTGTGTGTTTGTTTTACCATGATATTCGGTCTTCATCGTCTTACATTCTTTAATTTTATCCTTGAACAAAATCATCAACCTAAAAGCTAACCAAAAAAACCAAACAAACAACCCAACAAAGCAAAACAACGGGGAAAAAACCCTTCTTACACTCCTTCACTGCTAACATTTTTGCAAGGGCAATACACATAATGTTCAAATACATTCTTGTTCCTGTTAAGTAATTTTGGAGTATCTTTTGCTTCTAGATTGCTGTATAGGTGTTTGTGCTTGCTGAATTTTTTAGGGGATATTTTACTTATGATATATATATATGCTTTTCTTGACAGTCTTAAATCTGAGTGTGTTCTTATAAAAAAAACAGAGGTCGAATTCTTAACGGAACAGCTAGCACTCTGGAAAAATGGATAAACAAAATAATTTTTATGTTCCCTAAAATTTGTGCCTGTCTAGTCTCTCTTCCTTACAATATTCTCCTGTCTCCCTCTTAAATCCTTGGCTTGGTAACTTGGTAACTTTTCTTCAGCTTGCCCATGCTTATTAATTATGGTATGCTATTTCATTCAACAACTTTGTACAATGACTTGGATTTCTGTTTATTATCGTACTCATTTTATGTAAAATATGATATACACATTTTAAGATATGTTGGTTTGTGAAGTTTATAATTTGATAGAGGTCTTGCGGTGAACTCAGTTGGTAGCCTACCATACTGGGCTATGGTGTTGATGATTTGCATGCGTAATGGAGCATTCATGAAATTTGTTGGGGTTTTTTAAAGAGTTTTCAGTGGTGATCACAGGGCATTAAAAATAAAACCAAAGATTCTCTAGAATTTTTGTTAAAACTATACTGTACTATACATGTACTATTTTTTACCAATTAGTAAGTTAATTCAGTATAAATGGGCATTGGCCCACATCACATCACATAAAACACTCATTTGTATTAAGTTTCCAAATTATGAAAAAGTACAGGCTTTACCAGTTACACGCACATTATAACTTATATTATATATGTGTAGTCAGAATGGCTTTTGGCAAAATATCGAGTAACTAATGAATGTACTTGATCGTGGATTGGCCTTATCTTCATGGTTTGAACAAATGAATGCACGTAATTTAATATTGTTTGCGGTTGGAGGGCGCCATTGATAGGGTTTTTTTTTCTTTTCTTTCTCTCTATTCCAGACTATTGCTTCTGTCTGTCTTGGTTCTTTCTTGCACTTTGTGGTGGCTGCTATGTCAATATTTTTTTTTCTTTACTCACACAAACAAACAAAATTAGGCGCTCATATGACCTTATGCAGTTGCGAGCGCTGTAAAACCTCTACTAAAACAAACAAAACAAACAAACAAACAAAATTAGTTTACAGGACTGAGAAATGATTTCTTCCTTTCTTGCTTGTGGGCTTAGAGTAATCATATGGTTGTGGCAGCTTTGCTTGAGAGTGGTTGGCAGTATTTATTACGTCAGAGTGTGTGTGTTAGTTTTTCATCTTGTAAAGGATGTGTATTTCATGCTGGAACTGACTAAAGAGCAATGTTGCAAAAAGGGAAGAGATGTTAGCGAGAACTTGGTCTCTGCTTTTTTAAATTGTTTTTTGGGGGTTCTTTTTTTAAAGAAATTTGAAATGCTGTAAAAATGAACTTTGGTGAAGCTGGTGTCTTGGAAAACGAAAAGAAGATAAATAGACCATAATCATAATATGAAACTTATTATAGCCACCTTCTTTCCCAACATATATATATATACAGTAAATCAGTAATGTGGGTGGTTGGAGGGTACCACTGACTGGTAGGTACTAGTACTACTTCCTTTTTCCCCTCTCTTGTTTCTCTCTGTCCATATTACTTTTACTGTGCCACATGATCATTAATATTGTATGGATGTGTTTCTTTGCACTCAACACCCCCCACCAAAAACCATGGTCAGATATTGCAGAAAGTCATCTATTTTATTACCAGAGTTCTTTGCCAACAGTCTACTGCTCGTGGTCTGTAATGAATGCACCTCTCTCTTTAACCTCCTCTTGCTTGTCTATCATCAGTTACTCATGCATAATGTGCACCTATCTTATGGTGGAATCATGTGCCCGTCCATTTTTGGGCATACTGGGTTATTGGTATAATCTGAAAGCTTGTTCATCACTGTTGTGCTTTTTTTTCTTTTGATTTTGATGGAAAAAATACTTTCTATGTTGAATAGAAGTAGCAGTCAACAAATTGAAGAATGTGGGAGTCATTTGGTTTCAGGGAAGAAAATGGCTGCCAAAGTTTTGTGACTTCCAAAGCTTGAGTGTCACTGGAGATTGCAAATTAATATTTTTTGTGCCTTTGATCAAAGTTGTTCAGTAAAATCTACACAGAAATGCATTTTTAAAACCATTCTCTTCCAAAGTCTCAAACAGAGTCGGCCGCAGTCTTACGGCTGTCACTGGGCCCATTTAAATGAGTGGGGGGTTTTGGAGGAAGATTTCGTGGCTGTTGTGAGTGCTAAATTCTACGAAGTGTATCAGATGGGGAAGACAACGTTCAGTGTAAGGGTAAAATAAAACGAAATTCTGTAACTGTGAGACTATCAAGTGCCATGGTAAAACAAATGGGTCGCCGCCACTTAGCAAACGAGCAACACTTTTGTTGCAAGTTCATTTTTGTGTCCATGGTTACCCACTTGGTAAATTGTTCATCCCTCTTATGATAGCTGGGTTACAAGGTTATGGCGGTTTACACACCTCCCTCATCAGCAGTTGAATTATGTTACCAACTGCTTAACTTGGTCGGTTCGTTCATTCTTTGGAAGAACTATCGATAACAACAGGCGAATGGATTATGATAGCTTGTCCTCAGCGTCCGGAGTCAATGTGCAATCTAGGCCAAGTGTCAGGTAGCTGTCCCCGTCGTTTTATGCCAGAAAAATTCTGAAATTATGCAAACTGAGCCCAAAAATGTGAAATTATGCGATCATTCTGTTAATTAAATTTAACAAAGAATGATAAAGGAAAATAATCAGAAATTATTAATTTTATGCAAAAAATGATCAAATTTTGTTCAATTATGCGGGGTGCATAAAACCACAGGGTCAGAGGTAGTGAGAGATTTGCGTGAACATCTTAGACAGACAGGTTATCATTTTACACCTTGCCTTACACAGTGCCAAAAATAGAAGAAAAAAATGCAAG